TATACCCGTGTGTCCTGCACCACGCTCTGTTCGCTCTGCTCGCTCTGTTGCTGTGCCCCCAGGGCCGACAGAGCCTGTCACGTGACGGTCCGCAGCCAATCCTGGTTCGCCCTGTGTTCCCTCCAGGTGTCCAATGAACGTAGCGAGTCTCTGCTTGGCGACTCGTGGCCGGTCTCCTGCGAGGCCGTGTGTAACAAGTACTTAGTAATCTAAGTCCAACCTTGGTCTGATCCGGGTCTAAGGTTACGGACTGACCTTTGTGCGGCCACAGGAAGTTGACATACAGGGAAGGAATACAGTATGTAGCGAGACAGAGGACAGCCTCGTTAGCAAGGCTAAGGGAGGTCACGTAACGACTAAAAGGGGGGAAAACAGTACTATACTTGTCGTAACGGTTGTAATGCTTAAGGCAGAAAGCGGAGCGAGTGCCACATAATATTTCCCTATTCAGAATATATACTACAGAGGTACTGTATATACATAAGTCAACAGGTCAGTCTATACCTTGGAAACGATCCGTAGTTGACTTCGTTATCACAGAAACCTACTGTATGCTTTTAGATACTTACTAGTACCACATATTTAACTAGTGCCTACCTACTAGTAGTATAGTACATTATACTACTAGTAGTAATGTTATAGTTCTAGTATTGTCACGACACTTGCCCTACTCGTCAATAAAGGCCTTCAGACTAACACCTTCCTGAAGCGCGGATCTTGAGATCTAATCCTAGTCTAATCAAGGCTAGATCTGGGTTTAATTTCGGTTAAAAAATTGTAGACTTTAGCCTAGTAAAATTAAGTATATACAGTACGACCAGAATTTTAGAAAGTTGATTTACACTTTCTTTACAAAGTACGGAGAGTTAGTGTAGAGTACAGTATAGCTCGCCTAAGGGGGGTTTAAACTAGGCTAAGATCGATCTTAGACTGATTTGGGATTTATCTAGGACTAGTCTAAGACCCTGGGAGCGGTTATAGTAACTATTCTACTTAAGCTCTTAGATCGCTCTTAGATTGGTCCTAGATCGGTCTCAGACTAATCTCGACTCATTAAATCGCTCCTAAACCGCTCTCAGCTCGGGCTGAACCCGGCTCTACCACGTGTTAGACCCCTTTAAGGTGTTTAGCAGGGGGAAGTAGTATCAAGTGTCTAAACGAGGGACGAATTTCTCTTGATCGGGTTAGCGCACTAAGTATAGTACTTGTATTGGGCTCAAGAGGGGTCGCGTACCACGAACTGCTCCCTTCCATTATGCACAAGTACTATAAGCTCCATTGCAGTCCGCTCTGAGATTGGGTCTGTGAGAACATTGAAGTCGAGCACAGTGGTTTGTAGGCATTGCCAGGGCCCTGTGGCATGCTGGCGCACCGCTGGGTGGATGCCGGTGGCAGTTGCAGTGATCAACGAATGTTCAATTCCATGAATGTGTCACTGAAGTCGATGCGTCGAACCACTTCTCCGACGTGTGTCAGCATCAGTAACCGGTCGTGACATTCATGGAGACAGCATCGCTCTTTTGATCGAGACAATTGTCTTGGGTGCATGTGCGTTCAACTGCGTTGCTCGCCCTCCTCCTGACGAGAGTGGTTATCATACGACGAGGCATGCTGCCTGCGGAAGCACAAGGTGATCGATCGTGCCTGTGGGATGAACATGTAAGTTAGCGACACAGGAGACTTGCCGTTGCTACCCAGCTCCGACGTGCAGACCTCTCCACATGACATACCAGCAGGCACAGAACGCCGGAGAGGTCGTGAAGTCCCAGTACATAGTAATGTATGGACCCATGGACTCATGACGAACTTTGAGGTATGCAGACTTTAGGCGCAGAGAGGCCCGGAAATACATCCAGTGGTGTAAGATTCGGGGCGCGTCGGGGTGGTAAGATTCGGGGCGCGTCGGGGTGGTAAGATCGACGCCGAGGAGCCTCCCCAGTGCACCGGCCATTGAGGATTCTACTGCGCACACTGTCCGGACCCCTCGGTCCAGCGAGGACAGGCAAGTATCGACCCGACAGCGCTTGCTCTCTTTATGGGAGCACTGATTCCGAAATATATTGGTACGAGCTCTTCTAGGTGAGTGGGGCAGCAGTCAGTGTAATGACAAGGAGATTGTAATAGATCCCAGGGGGATTCCCACTCAGGGTCGGTCGGAATACTTATGTGGATTGGCATCCAAACAGTCATTTGCCGACGGCTCCGAGCCTCCTCAGCTCCATTGGCGTCGAACATGGCTTGTGACGGGCTGAGGTTCGATTCTTTTCATGTTGCATGTACGTAGCCGACACAGTACAGCTTCTTTTATGTACGTACACCCTGGACTCGGTCATCGACAGCAATGGTTTTCAGAGCATGCGTGGTAAGGATGAACGTTGGAGTCGGGAGCTCTAAGATCTGCGAAAAGATTCAGGAGGACGCTTTTCGGAACGAAGTCTGGACTCCATAAGTAAGTTAATGACCAGGATGGAGTCTTCGAAGGACGCAGGCAGAACAAGCAGAGAATTGTAGAAGTTTGAGTCGATGTGAAGCAACGTAGCTCACTTGTCCAGGAGATTGTAAGAAAGAAAGAGGACCAAGAGGATCAGGGGGAAGTTGAATGCAGCAGATACATAGGACACAATGGTGAGCAGATGTATGATGGATGTGACAATACGTGGGGAGAAGGATCCGACAGCGTGGTGGTTGATGAGGCTGAACTGAAACGCATCTCAATATTCGGTCAGACGAGACAAACTTATGGACTTGGTAGGATGTACTTAGTACAGTACTGTACTCATCTCAGTTGCCGGATCGATAAACGAGGCGTTGCGGTTGGGGTGTATGATGCTGCGGGTATACGGTTGGTCAATCATAGGACGACTGAAGGTCAAGATAACCTGGCTCGCCCGATGCGAATCTCATCGCACCCGCCTATCGAGGAGGTGGCATACCAGGTAGGAGCCATCGTGAGGGCTATTGGGTAGATACAGGATCAGTAAAGAACCAAATGGATCTTCGCGATTCAAACACTCTTGTAAGGCACTGGAGTAAGTACCGTTTGATTGACGGAGAAGTGAGGTGCAAAGTTGCAAAAATTCACCATTTCCTTACTTGTCGCTTTACTTGGCGGCGGATCAGCCGTTCAGAAGCTCCAGTGAATGACAATACAACAACGGGCAGCACCCTCGAGACATGGAACACGAATCCTAGTATGTATGTGACGGCAGTGTCAGAGCGAGAGGTTGGTCTCGTATGCAGTCTTCCGGCCTCATTCAAAGAAGCTCGTACAGTAGGTACTTAGTATTTTTAAGACTAAAACCGTCATGATCACCTTGGGGGCCTGTTGTCCGCCCAAAGGCCAGGAGAAGAAATAGAGCAAGCTGGGTCCTGGGCTCCCTGCACCCGAACAGACCCTGCAAGCGAGCCGAAAGAAGAAAGGAACATAGTATAGCTGCACGCTTGTCGCTTAGAGGGTTCATTCATATTTGCCCGTCTAGTGGACGACGACTCCATTCCACTGAGAGCAGTCTACCTGCGTAGCAGTTCCCACAGCGAGACCGACACCGCTGTTACCAAAGAACGCAGCCGACGCACCGCTGTCACTGCAAAGGTCGAAGTTGACGTTAGCGCCGTATTGGTTGGTGCCAGAAAGACCATTTTGCGAGCACAGCGGGTTGCCATTGGCCGGGCAAAGGTTGTTGATCATGACGACGATGGAGGTGCCAGCGTTGCTCAGCTTGTTGCCCGATGAATCCGTCTGACCGACGAGCTTCCAGCAGGTGCCGCAAGCAGGACCTTGACCTTGGCCAGGACCGGCACCATACAGGTTCTGACTGACGGCAGCGCTGAAGCCCGGTTGCGTGTAGAAGAAGCAGGCCGCCGTGTTGGTGTTGCAGTTGGGCGAGCCGAAGCTGTCTCCGGCACCATAGTGCGTGAACGAGGCTTTGTAGGTCAAGCCGCCACCGGACGACGGGCTGGTGGGCTGGCTTGGCTTGGCACTTGTCGCTGTGCTGGCTGGAGGCGCCGCGGGACTGGAAGCTGGCTTGCTAGCAGTAGCGCTGGACACGGGCTGGACGACTGGCGGAGCGGATGTCGCTGGCTGCTGTGGTGCTTGCAGACATTGGGAGTAGTATGGGTTCTGGGCCTGGCAGGTCCAGCCTGCTGTGCAGGTAGTGCCACCGGTCCAGTTGATCCCGCCGCCTGAGGGGAGTCAGGATATCGCATAGAAGGGACTCAAGGTACCGAGGACTTACATTGGCCCCATGGTTGCACGGGTGTAGCAGCAGAGGCTGCAGGACACGCCAGAGCGGCACCTGCGAGGACGTAAGCAACAAGTGATCGATACATGTTGCTACTGTATATCGGAAGTCGTATGGAATTCTCCCAGTGTCTGAGCGAGCAAATAGACGAGTGGATGCTACGAAGCGAGCGTGAGAAGGCAAGAAACGAACGGATACTCGATCGACGAGTGTAAAGAACGACTGGGTGCTACGGGTTTAGGAGACGTCAAGTCGACGTGGTCCTGGCGACATGTTATATATAAGTAGTATCTCATGTGGGTCATGAGAAGACGTTTTTGAGGAACGCACCCGCAATGCCTGCAAGCGTCGCGGAGGGAGTTCTTTGTGCACCAGGCCGCGACTGTCGCACCACCACACTGCTTACCAGGAAGACCATGGCTGAGTACACCACCAGAGACGGGCAAAGGTCGAGTATGCCGTGTCCCGACCGTTGGGAAATTGATGTGGTCGCCTTCGAGCGGAAAAGGGAGCTCTGCTGATTTGCTGATTTGTCCTGAAATCTCCTCGGCAGCAGGGCTTGCATAACCTGGAGTGGTCGGTCGCTATGGTCTGAAACAACTCCCCCTGTACATTTAGCGGCTGGTGAGCTCAAGGCTGAAATCCCAAACATCGGTTCAAGGGGGGAAGATCTCGCTTGTGCTTAAGCTTTCCAGTTCAAGATCCACCAATACATTGAGGTCTGGGGGTTCGGACATGGGTATTCCCGGCGCTCGACGTTGAGCACATACTATGTATTAGACTGAGCAGCACTAAGAAGGTGGTCGGTCGACGTGGTACGTGGCCAGATGAATATCCCCCGTCATTTTCAGCTGGGCGGTACAACGGGAACAAATATCACAGCCTTGTACGCGATGAGCTGCCTCGCTCCTTGATCGACCCACTTGATATAGCCTGACTAGCATTCGGTGCTGGGGAGGAGATTTGACAACAGCAGCAGGTTGGAATTTGGTCCGTGGCACCTCGCTCCGTGACTCTATCAACCAAGGGATTCCCCACGAAGCGAGCGGGCATTTTATTCTAGGTCCATCTTTGTGACGTCCTCGCTGTAACGCCTTTGTCGCGCAGCTGCAGTCCACCAGAGGAATGCAGTTGTCAACCAGGTTCTCAGCAAGAAAGTGAACCAGCCACAATCCTTTTGTGTTTCCCAGCCGAAGGCGGCCTCGTCGTACGCCTTGTTGATACGTTCCCGCCTGACTTTCTGATACGTGGCGAAGGTAACGTCTAGCCCCTTGTCGAGTTTGACTGCCATTGCTCGAGCGAACAAGATGGCGTCCTCGAGGGCATATCCTGTGCTTTCACCCTGGGGCGGCATTGCATGGGCCGCGTCCCCCAACAGCATTGCGCGCGTGGTGCACCACTTGCCCCGGGGAGCGAGACTGAAGACAGGGTACAGCGTCCAGTGATCTGTGGCATCAATGAGGGAATTGAGGAAGCCAATGGCACTATTGCCGAAACGACCTTTCACATTTTGCCTGATCTTGTCCTGTTCTGACCCACGCGCCAGCCAGCCTTCCTTCGAGATAACGTCTTCTGTCTCCATGATGGCTGCCACGAACTGCCGCTTCCTCTGTGGTTCGTAGTAACTGGTCATGAGACTCCCTCGTTTGGCCTGGCATAACCCTGTATCTTTCCAGGGCACCTGGGCTTCGTCGTCCAACCCAGCGAAGCCGAAGACCGCGGCTATCCCAGTGTAGAGCGGTGTCCTCTCTGGATCGACGAGATTGGTCCTAACGAAGGAATGTATGCCATCGCAGCCGAGGAGCAAATCCGAGGTCATTGTGTCACCATCGTCAGTATGGACAGTTATCTGCGCGTCGGATTCGATGATCTGGGTTGGTCTGCGACCGTAAGCGAAGCGGACATTATTAAGGTTCCGAACACATTCGGTCAGAGACTGCACCAAATCTGCCCGCATGATCCTGAGTCCCTTGAACGGCGGCTGGCCAACACCCTCCCCCTGTGCCCCAGTGAAGCCGATCTCGCCCAGTCTGGCGCCAGTGTGGATGGTGAAGAGTTCGATTTTGTCTATGGTAGCCCCCAGTGAATTCTCGTGGATTCGAGAGAGGACTCCCAGGTGATGTAGGCAGCGTAGTGCATTTGGTGTCAGTCCCACCGCACCGCCGATTGTTGAAGGTTCTGGCCGAAGTTCAATGATGGTGATATCCGGTTTCTCCGGTAGCCACTTGGTTAATGCAAGTGCTACTGACAGGCCAGAGATGCCTGCACCGATGACTGTGATCTTCATCCTTTTGTGTGCAATCTCTGGAGCTGGTGCCCGTGCATGAGTTCCCTCGGAAGGACATCTCCTTGGATCCCCAAAGACTTCGGCGTTACTTGTATTTGGACGAAGAGAAACTCTTCAGCGTCGTGAACCTCGTATTCGGTACGATCTGGGACGCTGGTAATGCTACTTGCTCAATGTGGTAGCCATCGTATTCGGCAGCTGCCCTATTGGCTGGCGCCGTGAAGCGGTTGAAGTGGTCCGTACAATACTGCTCAGCTATCCCGGCTACAGGCTAACCTCTGCAAGCCTCGACAACAGGCAGAAATATTTGTAGGCGGCCTCGGAACATTAAAGCGAGGACATGATAGTGCCATGGACACCACTCAGCACATCTTAGACCGTCACACCAAACCATCTATCCTTCTGCCACTTCAACCCAGCCCAGCCTTCGTCGTCTTGACGACGTGCTTGATGACCTCGACGCTACCCTTGTTTCCAACAGCACCAATACCCATGCCCACCTGCCACCCCATCTTTTCGAGCATGGCGCGACCTTTATTCCCTGCGCCGATCTCGGGAGCTGAGGCACCAACAACATCGCCATTCATGTAGGTAGCACCGGACATTGTGCCGCCACCACCTCTGCGGGCCCTCGCAAATCCGGGTGTCCTGGTCTTCGGCCCTGCAGCGGTTCTGAAGGAGCCGAAGACGCCCTTAGGGAAGAACTTCCTCGACTCCAACAAAGCATCGATCTCCCATATTGTGTCGATGGTGAATCTTGGCGTATGAGGTCCCTTGGTGAGAACAGGATAGCGCCCTATGCCATGTCCGTCCTTGCCGTGCGACTTTGAGACAAGCTTCAGTGCCTTTGCCAGGCGGTGCATCGCAGCACGTTGACCTGCATCCATGGGCGCCAGCTCCAGCGTGTCGACTTCCTGAGCCATGAACTGTCTGATCTCTGCGCGAATGGCCGCAGGCTGGTTCCGCTCAGCAGCATCGAGGAGGGCGTCCTCACGCTCAAGCTGCTTCTCTCGCTTGCGTGCAGTCTTCTTCTCCCGGTCTTTCTCCCACGTACTGCGAAGGCGCTGGGCAAGCTCCGGGTCCTCAATACCTAGCTCAAACGGCAAATCAGACTTTCGTCCCTTCTTCTTAGGTCGAAGACTTGGGCGTTCGAAGTCCATGATGTCGAAGGCACCATAGGGATCCTGATCGAGGGCGTCTGCGAATGCTGAAGCAGAAGGGAAGTGGTCGCGTTGGCGTCTGTTGCGCCTTGACGTGGTGCGGCTGGAGAGATGCTTCTTCGCTGAGAACGGGATGAACGCGTCGCCAGTTGCAAACTCATCGTCGTCGTCATCCACATCCTCGTCATCATCATAGTCGTCCACATTTCCGTCCAGCAAAAGCAATTCATCGCCGCCCAAGCCTAATTCTTCTTGCTTGGCTAGAGCGCGGGCGATCTGCTCGTCTGTCATGCGGGATGTATGCTTCAAGATGCGCTCGTTTTCTGCATCCTCAGAGTCAATGTCGTCCATCAAATCGTCATCAGCTTCTTCTGCTTCTGAATCTGAGTCTGAGTCTTCGGACTCAGGTGTCTGTTGGATCTTCATGGTTTGGATCTCCTCGAAAATACGGATTTCCTTGACTGCAGATTTAGAGATCAACTTGTCGTGCAGAACCCAGCGAGGTTCGCTCGCGTCTTTGCCGAGTGGGTTCACGAGGTATTGTCGGCCACTGGGCCGTGTACGGAAACGAAGAACTTGGCTGACTTCAACAACCTCCTCATCCGTGGTACTGAACTCATCAAAATCCTCCAGATCGGCCGAATCCCAATCAATGGCCTGTTCGACTTTGGTGGTCTTCTTCGCGGTTTTTCTGGAAGGCTCGGGTTGCACACTAACTTTCGACTCAGTGGCACCATCAAAGAATCTGAAGTGCTCAGTTCTTCTGCCAGTCTTGACTGAACGAGCAATGTCGGCTACATTGTCGTCACTATCATCGTCGAAGGTCATGTTGGCGATGTAGTCATTGATGAGATCCTCTTCATCGTCCTTTCTGCGCTGGCGAGCACGACCCCGGCGATCAGCGCCTTGACGGTGTTGCGAAGGTAATATGTTGTTGAACCTTTCCAAACCAGATGAACTGGAGTCTTGTGCGGTGATCTCGGGGGTGGCGAGAGGGTTTTGGAAAGGCAGTTTGGCCTCTTCCGTTCTCTTTTCAGGCGAAGGTGTGGGAAGTTTGGACGTGGCAGGGGTAATTTTGGCGGCCATTCTGGGTACGGGATTGCCTCGACCGGCGAAGAGAATTTCGTCTGACGATTGCGACGATATCGAGTCTCTTCTGGGCGCAGGCGTTTGTGCCACAGCCTCAGCTGGGGAGTCTGCGCGCACCACCTGCTGCTCACTGCCAGAAGCGGATTGCTCGGACGACTTTGCAAGTTGTGACAGAAGTGTGGATTCAGCTGGCGTGGGTTCGATATCTTCCTTTACGTCCTTATCTCCGTCCTCTTCACCTGTAGCTTTGATCTCGTCCTGGTGTAGATGTCCGGCACTGACGAAAGTGATGCTTTGTTCCCTCAGTTTCAAAGATCCCCAAGCCATAGCGTGTCGCTCGGTATTCTTAGCAGCCTGAGCCATGCTTAGGGGGGCGTTCTGTAAACCAGAGGCATTGGAACTCGAGTAGGCCTGCCAGTCGCTAACAAGCTCGCGGTGGCGGGCATTGGGACCTGATATAACTTGTCAGGATTGCACCCCGCTTGACATTTCACTTGAAGTACCTCTGGACTTGGCCTGACCTTCCGACCACGGGGATGGCGAAGGTGAATTGAACCCGGACCAGTGGGCTGACGAGTGATTTGGTGTACCTCCGTTCCTCTTCTTGCGACCCTGCGCCCGCTGTCGGGGACCCATGATTGCGCGGGGTGGTGAGGATCGGATTCGCCCACTTCGACAAGGTGAATTGCGAAGTTAATCTAGTTTCAAGGAGAAAACATGTCACACCAACAAGGTACTCAACGGCATATTCACTACTTGCAATTTGCAATCAATGTTGTCGTTATGAATCATGCAGAGGCAAGGAGGGGAGAACAGTCATGGGCAATATCGAAAGAATGGCGTCGGGGGCGAAGTTGACCATCTCCAACACGGACCACGCGCGGTCATCCCACCAGTTAAAACCCTCGGTGAAAGCCTAGGCGCCCCCGTCTCCGGATGACTGGCCCCGGGCTCCAACCCCGGGCCTCCCAAGCCTGTGTGATGTCGCTAATGGTCAATCATCGCAGGCGAGGCTGACGTTGATACCGCTTGACTTGATGCCTGCTTCGACCTCAATAATGGTATCCTTTTCGTTCGTTTAACCAGCAACAATCGACTCCTGCATGAAACGTGCTCTATTAGAGACGAATCATTACAAACGCCACTTCTAGACCTAATCCCCCAAACACGGCAAACCTGGACACCCTCCGAGCTTTATTTGCATCCCGTCACACCTCCAGCTCACAAGACCCGTCACTCGCTCTACACAACTACAAGCAGCGGGAGGAGAGCTCATCATTACTTCTACAACCACTAAATCGACTCCCGCCTCAAGCCCATACTCCACTCGGTGCCCTACTATATGCACTCTCCCTTACGCTGCAGAGCATCCCTCGCCCTGTCCCGGCTCAAGGCGTCATGAATGGCGTCGAGATTAAGCGCTTCGTGCGCTATTTCTATGACCCTCCTCCAAAATACGATGACATGTCGGGTACATCAATATGGCTGCTGGGGAAAGAATACAAGGCTACACCGCCAAAACCGGTGACCACGACCGACCATGACGATGTGGTCGAGGTGGAGTCATCTTCGGATTCACACGAACCGTCAGATGCTGCGAGTGCCCCGTCCACCGCTCCAGAGACACAGCAACAACAACAGCAGTCGCAGCAAAACGCTTCCGAATCACAGAACACAAGCAGCTTCGACGACGCACAACTTGTCACAGGAGGAGAGGACACACCTTCTTTATCCAACGACCCTTCGGACCGGGGCTGGCCGATCCCCTTTCTCGACGACTTCGAGTCGCGAGTATGGATGACCTACCGCTCAAACTTCACCCCTATTCCTCGGTCGCATGACGCCGACTCCAGTACCGGCCTTTCCTGGTCCGTCCGGCTTCGCAACCTTACTGAACGGGAAGGCTTCAGCAGTGACACGGGCTGGGGCTGCATGATCCGTTCGGGACAATCTCTCCTTGCCAACGCACTGATAATGCTCCATCTAGGGCGAGATTGGCGGAGACCAGGCACACATACGTCCCGCACAGCCTCTCCTTCTCCGCCATCTAGCGAACCACCCACGCACACTTCTTTATCGACACAAACAGAGGCTTCTATCCTCTCCTTGTTCGCCGACTCCCCTTCAGCCCCCTTCAGCATCCACCGTTTCGTCCACCACGGAGCCACCTCCTGTGGAAAACACCCAGGCCAGTGGTTCGGGCCCTCCGCCACGGCCAGCTGTATCCAAGCCCTCAGTGCAGAGTGCGCCTCTGCAGCCGGATTGCGCGTTTACGTGACTCCCTCGGCGAGCGAAGTCTACGAGGACAAGTTCCGGTCCATCGCCCGGGCAAGCGCTACAGACGCCACGATAAAACCCACCCTTATCCTGTTAGGGATACGCTTGGGGTTAGATCGCATAACACCAGTCTACCACGAAGCCCTGAAGAGTAGTCTGACATATCCACAAAGCATCGGCATCGCAGGCGGACGCCCCTCGTCTTCTCACTACTTCATCGGGTGCCAGGGCGACTTGTTCTTCTACCTTGACCCTCACGAAACGCGGGCCTTTCTGCCCTACCACGCGTCCTCGGCCGAATACACCGATGAAGAGATTTCGACATGCCATACGCGCCGTCTCCGCGGCCTGCGCATTTCTGAGATGGATCCCTCCATGCTGATTGGATTCCTGATCAAAGACGAAAATGACTGGGAAGATTGGAAGCGGAGGCTAAAAGAGACAAAGGGCAAGGCAATTGTGCATGTGCTGGACAAGGAGCCGCCAGTCCCTGGGGAGAGCAGAGAGAGGAAAGAGGCCGTGGACGAGGTAGTCAGTTTCGACGACGAAGAAGAAGAAGATGACGAGACCGTCACGGTAACGGGAAAGGAGGACGACGAGGGTGTCAAGGTCGAAGCCTCCGTGGCAGCCTCAGGCACTGCACGCTCCGAAGCCGAAACCGAAGCTGGAGACGATGCAGTCAAGGTCTCGGTGCCGCAAAGAGATACGGCCGTGGAGGCAGTGTAATGGTTTCATGATATCGCGACGCGTAACGAGGGATACCACTTAACAGCAGGGTTCTTGGTCGGGTTGGGTTAGGCAGGCTGGAGTTTTCCGAGTCGACTTGGTTTTTTTGTGAGGTTGAAAAGCGAACGCCCGTCACTACTACGGAGTAAATACCAGAAAGTCTAGTCCGGTATTGCCTTCTTTGAATGGAACATGTGTCCGGACAGCGCACGCTGAGGGTTGCTTCTCTCTCGCTTGTTGCTTCTTGCTTGCGAAATAGATCCTCGTATGTATGGCCTCTGTCACCCCTGGGAAACCCCAAGGTAGCAATGCTTGGATGGATGCATCGCTCCTCCCCGCCTTTGGGACGTCGTTGGCAACTCGCGCCGAGCAATTGTCAGCGCACAGATAAGGTCAAGACGTGGCTGGCATGGTCTCCAGAAGCGTGTTCTAGCGCGCAACTCTCTGGACGCGTACCACAACAATGGCGTTGCCCCCTCTGGAATCTCAGTCTCCCTGTCGCGAGACTGTGGACAGCTATGCGAAACAACAGACCACAATCTACTCTATGGGAGTGGAGGGTTTGAAAGACTGTTTTCATGCTTTGAATTGATGTCTCAGGTTCCAGCCATGCAGCTGGAGATTCTGATCTCTCATGCTTCCGTGTGTTGGATATTGTACATAGCACAGAAGCTCTTCTCTGCAGGATCGTAAAAGCATGAGTGTTTTGCTGATGAGCAAGCATCACATCTGATAGCTCATTGTTGTCAATGATCCCAATACCCCATGACGCATCGTAATGTGTTGAAGAAAACCCGTTTCAACACCGCTGATCCATTGTGCCCACAAAACCCCATTGCATATTGAAAACAAGCAAAACCCAACCATGAACCAAGTGCGAACAAGCAGCCACGTCTACTTGCTCTGGGAAGAGTACTTGGTGACCGCCTTTGTGCCTTCGGAAACGGCGTGCTTTGCAAGTTCACCGGGCAGGATGAGTCTGACTGAGGTCTGGATCTCTCGAGATGAGATGGTGGACTTCTTGTTGTAGGCAGCAAGCTTGGAGGCCTCGGTGGCAACACGCTCGAAGATATCTGCAGGCAGCTGTCAGATGACTGCACTTTGGAGATTGATGGGCGCAATTGAACTTACCGTTGACGAATGAGTTCAAGATTGACATGGCACGGTTGGAGATACCAGTATCGGGGTGGACTTGCTTGAGGACTGCCGAAGACGCGTCAGTTTTGGATCGCAAGGCGATGATCGACGGCAAAACGTGATGCTCACCTTTGTAGATGTATGAGGAGTAGGTCTCCTTCCTCGTCTTGCCGCGCTTCTTCTTCTCGCCTGAAGGAGCTGCTGCCGTCTTCTTGCCGGCTTCCTTCTTCTCAGCAGCGGGGGCTTTGCCAGCTGGGGCCTTGCCGCCAGTGGTGGGCTTCTTGGACGCTTCCTTGGGAGCCATTTCTGAAGTGAGATGGATATGCGAAAAACGCGAAAGTTGATGGAGTATGTGAGATGGAGTTGATGATCGAGTGTGTATGAAGCGTGGATGAGTGATGGATGGATGAAGAAGGAAGGAAAGATGGAGCGTGAAAGGCGGGTGATGGCGACTCTTATACCAGGCGCAAGTGCGAGGAGGAGGGCGCGGGTTGATGCGAGATGGCAGACGCAGCTCGGGGTTGATCCTGGGTAACGGATTGCGCGATTTTATCAGTGTATTGTTATCGTGTCGATTTTGAGGAGTTTTCGGCCACTCAGAGGGCAGGATCAGAGTGCTTGGCGGAAAGATATGGTAAGGCAATGTAATGCAGCCTGCGTATTGTCAAGTCCTCTGGAAAAGTCATTTTTGATCAATCTGCACCAAGCACCGTGATTGGCTGGACGGCTCCTCTGTGATCCAAACCGCCCGCTCCTCCACTTCGCTGCGCTGCATCTTTCATCACAAGCGTCTGCGAGGTTGATCTGGAGGCGCGACGCAACAGCCCGCAACCCGCATCGCCCGCCTGCTCGCATTCCTTTATAACTTCCCTTTCCCTCCCACCATCATCCACCCTTCCCTTCCTCTTCTTCTCATCCATCCACAAACTTCAGCTTCCATCACTCATCTGACACTACTGTCCACCGCGACTTCCGTCTCACAACCCAATTTCAACCTTCTCAAACCCAATCCCCTCAACCTCATCAAAATGACTGGCGGAAAATCTGGTGGCAAGGCCTCTGGCTCCAAGAGCGCTCAATCGTAAGTCATCCACCATTCGGACTTCCTCGGTCTTGTCTTCTACGCGACGCGTTGGCCGCGGTCCGCACATCTGCACTCGAAGAGCATGCGCTGACTTCCATCGCAGCCGTTCCTCCAAGGCTGGCCTTGCATTCCCTGTTGGCCGTGTCCATCGTCTCTTGCGAAAGGGCAACTACGCTCAGCGTGTCGGTGCTGGCGCTCCCGTCTACCTCGCAGCCGTTCTTGAGTACCTGGCTGCCGAAATCCTCGAGCTTGCTGGCAACGCCGCTCGTGACAACAAGAAGACGCGTATCATCCCCCGTCATCTTCAATTGGCCATCCGAAACGATGAGGAGTTGAACAAGCTGCTCGGACACGTCACAATCGCCCAAGGTGGTGTCCTGCCCAACATTCACCAGAGTACGTTTACCATCTGCATTGCATATGCGACATCTACTGACTTTCGTTTCAGACTTGCTGCCAAAGAAGACCACCAAGGGCAAGAACCCCAGCCAAGAGCTGTAAGCTCATTGTGCACATTGTTTCTGAACTGGGCTGTTTTTGACATGGGAGTTTCATGACACACGGGGTTACGGGTTGGGCTGGCCAGGTTTACGGGCCATTTTCAGAGTTTGTGCTTTACCGGCATCGGAGAGCTGGGTCGTGTACATTATGCTCATTGGCATGCCTATTATCATCATGATCATGGATAGGAATGCAGCAAGGGCATGAGATGAGACATGCGAGGGTGCAGAGCGAAAGGCTTTGCAAAGTAGCGATCATTCGACGACAAATTCAATGATCCAGACAATGACAAACATCCGAAAACTCTTGTCGTCCACGTTTTCAGGCTGTAATTCTCTTGAGACGAAGTCCGAGTTGGACCATCAGCAAGTGTGAACGGCAATCCTGATCCCTAGGGTTCCAGCCTGCCTGGGGTTTTGTCAGTGACGCGTCAAGAATCTACAGCTGCATCGTTGGCTCGTACAAAATCAACACAGCATGTCCCAGGCGCGGTGGAATAGAGCGTGTTCTGTGTGGGATTACTGTCATTGGCCAACAAGCCTCGGGGTGCAAAGCCTGGCATGGTGGATATCCAAGTCCATCACCTGCGCAATGAGAGAGCCAACTAGCAGAGAACAAGGTGCCATGATTTTGCATTGACAAGCATTTCTTCCTTCTGCTTGTACGTCCTTCGCGCTTGTGCAGCAGAAACAGTGTATGTGTCCAGGTGCTTCTTGGTAATATGTACAAGTCGGGGCGACCAACCATGCATGCATGCTTTGTCCGATCATAACCTCTTGACGAACTCTCTTGATGGCGGCGGTAGATCTGGAGCCGGGAGATTTCGTTCATACTTCGAGCCTGTAGAGTGCGACACGTCAGTGACCTGGAGCACAGCGGTTTGAAGGACATGTCTGCGTACCTCCAGGAGCAGTTGGCGGCCGGTAGGGGTCCGGGTGCTTCCATTTGTCTAATAGTTTCTCAGTCTCGTTGAAGAGAATCTGTACCCGTCATTGATCAGCAATGTACCTTCGCGCAGACAGCGTCATGTCCAATAGGAAGGTGAACGTCATCAGCATACTCTCTGTTGTCTGTGATCAGTGATGTTCTTGTTCGCATCGAATAGTGATCGGATGTAGACGGCCTGTCCGCGCCAGAGGTTTCGTTGAACAGCCCAGTCGAGGGCGAGCTTCAGCGACCGTCGATATAGGTCTCTGCCAGAATGCAATCAGCATTTGCACCGGGAATGATACCTCATTCATGGTGCAGTATCTTACCGGACAGCCTTGACATGAGGGCTCATTGAAGCCATTGTGACCAGCGCAGTCCTTCGCCCACCACCAATTCACAGGTAACTCCCCTTAGCAGACGGGTGGCCAGGACCGGCTTCGTCGTCTTCTATCCGTCCCGATGCTCGCTGGTCTGTGGCTGTCCACGGCGTTGAAGTCGGTGGTGAATCTGTAATTGGGATGAGTCGATTGGAGGTGCAGCCAGAGGCAAGCAGGCTTGGCATCGAAGCTCCTTGTCGCTCGTCTCGCCTCGGGCTGCAGGCAAGCGGGCGGCTCTCTGGCTGCGCGACTTTCTGGGACAACGTCACAGCCCAATTGGAGCTCCGACAGAGCTTTCCATTCCCGTGCTCCAGATCCGCAAAGACAAACACTCTTCTCAATTCACAGTCTCCGGTGCACCAGGAGGACGGGGCTTCAGTTAGCAGCACCCTTTCATTCTCTGTATTTCAAGCCGGCGGTGAGTCCGCCTCGCATGCTACGGCCATAAACGTCCTCGCTCTCTGGAGCATCGACTGTCTACTTCACACGTTGCACGGTCGACGCAACAAGTGCCACTATGGCCTCTCTACGGCTTCGACGGACTCCAGCTCTGGGCTCCGCGCTCGCCATCCCAAGATGCGGCCCCTCGCTACGTACTCGCGCATTCAGCGGGTTGAGGTCGAAACCAATGCTGCGCCCACAAGTCATCTTCAGCTTGCGAACATCCACTGCACCTACGTATGCCTCCGCTTCGCGCTACCAGCCGTTCAGTACCTCCCCTACCCGCTATGAGACCATCGTCAAAGTCCCACAGATGGCCGAGTCCATCTCGGAGGGCACCCTCAGCAGCTTCTCAAAACAAGTGGGCGACTATGTCGAGCAAGATGAGGAAATTGCCTCGATCGAAACAGACAAGATCGATGTCTCGGTCAATGCTCCCGAGGCAGGCACGATAAAAGAATTCCTTGTTAGCGAGGGCGACACTGTGACCGTCGGGCAAGAAATTGCAAAGCTCGAGCCGGGCGAGGGCG